AACACCATACAGGGTGATTCCTGTTATTATAAAATTCTAAATCCCTAGATTTAGCATGTTTAGCATTATAATAATGAGAATCAGACTGAGAGGAATGCTGGCTTGATGTAAGTCTTTTTTGAAATTTGGAATCTCAAGTATAGTTGAACCTAAAGACTAAGAAGAGGTGCATGTGCACCACCTGGTATAAAGAAAAACACAAATTTTGGATTGATGCTCTAGTAAAAGGAACACACACATTTTGATACTCTCATAGTATCAAATATGTTTATGTTCCTTGCACTACTTGCTACTATTAAACACACTATTAGACTATAGTTTCCTCCTAGCAAGAAAGGAGACCACAATGGGAGTCATGGAGACCATTACTAGTGGTACATCCAGTTGAATGACCACCAGGAGCAAGTCACAAGTTATTAAAAAAACTCTCTCCTGAAGAGAGGCAATGGAGGGGCAGGAGAACCCCCAAGCCTTGCAATTAGTAGAAATGCTTAATCCCCTTTCCACCATCTCTTCCATTCAGGGCTTGATCAAGCACTCCTCAACTGTTGTGGTGTGGACTACAGGTTCTTCAGAGCAATTGTTGATGTGTTTGCTCCAGTTTACAACAACAAGTACTATACAGTGGATGACAACAACAACATTGTTGAAGTCACTTGTTATCCCAGTGGCAAGCCAAAGGGGAGGAGGAGGGAGATTTGATGCAGTCTGTGCTATTGGGCTTGTTCTCTATTGGTTTCAGACAAGAGGTTCAGTCACTTGATCCATGGCCATGGCCTTTGGCTTGATATCCACACTGATGTGCACGTGGCTCACATTTTCAAGAAGAGTTCTCCTTGTTGCTCTTCATAAACACCCAGATGCCATGGTCAGTGTTCCAACTGTGCAAGAAGTTGATGATTATGTAGAAGCAATTGGAAGGAAGTACCCAAGGCTTGGAGAACAGTGCGTTTGGGCTGCAGCTGATGGGCTCAAGAATGCTATCCAATTCTCTGAAGACTGGTACAAACAGAGACCATCTTACAATGCCTTGAAAGAAAACACAATCATCAACAGTGTGTTTGTCTTTGCTCCTGATGGGAGGATCAGGATATCAAACTTCAACTGCCCTGGGGCCTGGAATGACAGTGCTATCTCCAACTTTGGCATCTACCAAAGGATTGAAGAGGTCCATGATACCTCCAATGCAAAGGTTGTGGTGGATTCAGCCGTTGCACTGAGAGAAAAGGAGCATATCCTCATCAAGAGCTCACAGAGGGAGCCTGACAAAGACAATCTCTTCCTGTTGAACAGGGATGTCACGTCCTTGAGAAAGATTCCTGAAAAGGGGTTGAGGATGATTCATGGACAGTTTCCCACAAATGAAAAATTGGATGGTATTAGAAGAGCTTGGAAAGAGGAGGATCACTATGAACTTTCTGGTCAATCTGTACAACTTCCAGTGTACTATCATAGGACACAACCAAATCCTATCAAGGTTCCTGAAGAGGCCGATGAGGTTCCTTACCAAAAGGAGGATATTATGGGAGGGTACTTCCAACAAGTTGGTTGTGGGATATCCCCTGATGGAAATGAGGTGTTTTAAGGGTGGTGAATCCCATGGTCGATTGGTTGCTGTGGCTAGTTGGAAAGAAGGTAGTTTAGTTAGATCTACAGTCAGCAAATTGCAATCAATAGCTGTGGCAAATTGCAATTGATATCTGCTGCAAATTGCAATCAAAAGCTACAGCAATGTCAATCAAAATTGCAATTGATACGGCAATTGATTCACTCATAGCAGGATGGATCCCCATGGTGCAAGGAAGCCATTGTTGCTTTCATTAAGGGGTGTTTAGCACTCCGTAATACTTGCTTGTTGGGAGTACTACCATACTCAAATAATGGACAGAGTAAGCTATACAGCTGGAGAAGGATTGGTTTTTGTGTACCCCATCTGGTTTTTATGTATACCTTGTCCTGCATCCGTTGATGGAGCAATGCTTTGAAATACAAAAAATTATACTGTAATGAATATGTATTGATAACATATCCACAAGTATCCTGTGATGAAGATAAGTCCACTATACACTACATGTGCATGCTGATGTGGACTACATGCTGTGCATGCTGATGTGAACTGTGTTTTGTGGTGCTTCACACATGCTAAGCAGGGAGATAACAGTATACACAAAAACCTATACAAGAAAACCCCAGCAAGCAGCAGTACAGTCCCTACTACAACAGTATGCGATAGCATGACATAATGCATGAAGCTCAAGCAAGCTCCTCAAGCTGGTAGCTCATTATTTTGAATTAGCACTCTATTTTATTGTAAGCAGCAACAGTTGAGTTTAGTTTAGTAATTTAAACTTTTTCAATCTGGAGTTCACCAAGGGATTCCACCCCATATGTTGGCGTTTAGCACCCGGCAGATACTGGGGATTAGCAGCCTGCAGCAGACAACAATGGCAAGCAGCAGGAGGCAGATTGTTGTAAATAGCAGGAGGTGCAATTATTTGTTCCAATGCAGCTTGGCTCACAATCCATTCATTATTCCTTTAGTATTGAACCATCTTCAATCCAATACAACCACAATCTATGACTACTCCTATTATTGGGAGTATTTGTGCGGATCTATCAAGCACCATCTGATACGGATGAGTATGCTGATACAGAGGCTCGTTGATATGGAGGATCATACTGATACAGAGAATGCTGATACAGATGCTCCCTAATATGGACAGGGAATGGTGCTGATGTGGAGTATACTTATACAGAGGCTCACTGATATGGAGGCTTGCTGATGCCAAGGATGCTGATACAGAGGAGGACAATGCTGATGCAGAAGCTTGCTGATGCAGAGATGCTGATGCGGAGATGCTGATACAGAGATGCTGATACAGAGGCTCACTAATGCACAAGATGCTGATGCTGAAGTTGCTGATATGGAAGCTTGCTGATACAGAGGACAAGTTGCTGATACGGAGGCTCACTGATGCAGAAGATGCTAATACAGAGGATACTGATACAAGTTGCTGATACAAATCACCCCATATGGAGAATAGTGCTGCAGAGGAGGGTGACAGAAGCTGAATAAGGCATAGGGTACTGCTACTACTAGCTACATCGGATATGTGTTATGTGCTATCATCAGCAAAAGAGCAGTGTTGGATAGCTGTTAAGAAATAGTAAGCACTATTGCTATTAAGAACACTGTTAGTAGTAATACCTTCAGCGACAGTAGTATTGGGCCCTAGTAGATGCTTCTAGGAATCATTAGTAATGAGTTCCTGTGGAGGTGTTTATGTCAAGAAGTTGGTCACAGTACTAGTACTAGTACTAGTACTAGTAAGTAGTACTAGTACTACTCTTGGTACTGTTTTTTCTTGTCCCTTGTTTTCCAGTAGTTAGTGCTCTTACAATGCACTAGAGGACTTGACCTCCTGAGATGTTTACTTGTACCTCAATTTTTTTCACCAAGTTTTTTTGAATTTTCTCTCCAGTAGTGAGGCTCCMCTTTGTAAATACTTGTATCAGGGAGTTGGCAATAATTTGCATGTGTGTAGGATTCTATGGACTTTGTACTGTGTATTTATTACTGTGTCATTTATTACATGTACCCCGCACAGTTTTTGGATAATGGGTGATTCCTGTTATTATAGAAATGCCAAATTTGATAGACAGACAGACCAAAAATCTATCCCATGTTGTCATAGATTTAGCATTTTTTGGATGGGTCCAATGACCCCATTCAAAATGTGCTAGATCTATAATGGAACCCAAGAATCAAAATTTATAGGCTCCCCATAGATGTTGCATACTGTTCTAGCAGGGACTGTACAGCTGCTTGCTCTGGTTTTCTTGTAAAGGTTTTCATGTATACCAATGCAGGATTACAACTGTTTCACCTCTATTGGCATGTGCAAAGTCCCACAAAAATAGTTTGGATTGGTATGCACATATTGTGTATCATAAACTTGTCTTCATTACAGTATAAATTGTTATCTAAACGATTGTTAGTGTGTATTAACAAACGCGGCAGCCGGGTCACAATGGAGGAAGAGGGAATCAGCATATCTCCAGATTGCAAGCCTTGGGGTTCTCCTGTCCCTCCAGCATCTCTCTTCTGGAGATAGTTTGCTTTTATAACTTTGCTTGTCGGCGTTCAACTGGATGTACCAGTACATTGTGATGACCTCCACTATTCCCATTGTTGATGATGTTGCCTTCTTGTTGTTCTTTCTTGCTAGGAGGACAGTCTTGTCTATTAGTGTGGCTAGGAATTGTTTGTCGACTCATTAGCTAGTGAGGAACACACATATTTTGATACGGAATTATTAGAGTATTGAAAATATGTGTGTCCCTTCTACTAGAGTATCGATCCAAAATTTCATGTTTTTCTTTGATGTACTGAGTGGCGCACATTTAAGTCTATAGCCTTTACATTGAGCAATAATTAACAAGATTCCAAATTCCCAAAAAGACTGGCATCGAGCCAGCATTCCTCTCAGTCTGTCTGTTGAAGTTTTGATTCCCATTATTACAAGTGCTAAAATCATAGATTTAGCACATAAAGCATTCTACTAGTATTACAGTAATGGGAATCACCCAATAAAATCTTGTTTAATTGAGACAGGTTGAAACGTGGGTACGGTGTATCGCTCTGTTCTTAACGTATGCCTTTGTACAAAATCCTACAGCTAAAAACCTGTTTCGCGATAAGACACCAGTTGTACCTCGTGCCGGTAAGTACGGTACTGTTTTGGACGAACTGGAGCTCGTTCTCGTACATGTACCGCAGAGTAGACCGCGAAACCGTGTGTCACGTATTCCGCTTCCGGGTTTTCTATCTTTTTTATGATTTCGAGAGGTCAGGTTGTTCGTAGGTACCTCCGAGCGTACGTACAGTTCTCATAGTACTCGTGAAAGGTGTGGATCTGTTCATTTATTTAATTTGATTGACTCGTGCTGTTTCCGACATCCCCGAGCAGCGAACGACAGCGACAAAGTCAATTGCGCATGTAAAAGAGACAGAAGCAGAAAGGGATAGAAGAGAGAACAGCAACTGATTGAACTGGCCGCCATCAAGCGATTTTATCCGTATCATTATGGCGAAGGATGCACTCCTTGACGTCTTGCAACAGACGATAGGCAAGTATGTGAAGGATCTCGATCCAAACAAATTGAATCTTGCCATATGGAAAGGCAAGATCGAATTAAAAACACTGGAGCTTGACGTGGAATCCATCAACTCGATGCTAGACAAAAAAGCCAAAGAGGCTCCCAATCTCGCCATCCCATTCAAGGTTGTATCTGGTCATTTTGAATTGTTTGAAGTCGTTGTACCATGGAACAAGATAACGAGTAAATCCGTTATTTTGCAGGCACGGGGACTTTCTGTCGTAGTCGAACCACTGGACAGAGGGTCGCCACAGGCTTTTGATGACGACGAGATGGCGGAGAGTGATGTGGATAAAAATTCAAAGCGAGTCGCGAGACAGCATGAATTGCGAAAAGAGCAAATAGAAGAAAGTGATAAATATCGCGTCCAGGCTTATGCCTTGAAAAAGATTGCTTTGAAACCAGAAGAAAACGAGGAGAATAAGTCAACATTTGCGCAACGACTTGCTTACAAGATTATTCAAAATATCCAGATTGAAATCAGCGAGGTACACATATCACTGAGAAGTGCAGATGGTGCAATGGGTGTAGTGCTAAATTCCGTGAAGCTCGTGACTACTAACAGCGAGGGAAAGCCTGTATACGTCAATGAAACTGAAGCAGATCGCCGTAATTCTTCTCTCTCTGATGTCGACACTTCGTTCCAGTATAAAATGCTTCAAATTCAAGGCTTCGGTATATACCTTGACGAGGATGATTTTGAGAACGCGAGAAAAAGTCTACAGAGTATATATGAAGATAGCACCAGCATTATCAGTGATAACAGTTCGATTTCTTCCGCCAGAACTCAACTTCACACTTACATATTAGCACCGCTGGACTTTGAAACAAAATTACGAATTGCGGACAGTAAAGTCTGTGCAGAATATTCAATGTATCAATTGAGAAGTAACCTTTCTATGCTGTCTTTTCGACTTACCCGGAACCAAGTTGATTTTGTGCGGAAATTAGCGAAGATCATGTCGCCTTCTATCCTTGGACCTACCATTCTATTCCCAGAGTACCGCCCAGTTGTACCTGTGAAAGGGCATGCTCGCGAATGGTGGAAATATGCAGGGAGGTGCATTGGACGAATTAATGGCAGAAGATTATGGGTTGAGTTTTTTGAGGCTTTTACAAAACGAAGGAAATATATCCCGCTCTACAAGCGACATAAACACCACAAAGAATGTCCTTGGGTGAAGCCGCTGACAGACGACGAAGCAAACGATCTAGTTCTACTTGAACAAGATCGGTCCATCTCTATTGAGGGGCTTATGACATGGAGGAATATTGCAGATGGCCAAATCGACAAAGAGCGCGAGAAGAGACCGAGTAGAGATCAAAAAGCGAGTGATTCGTATTTCTCATTCGTATTTGGAAGCAGTCAACCCAGTGGCACCGAAGCTAAACAAATGATAGATGACGAGGAGCCACCGATCGTGTTAAGCGTGGAAGAAATGAAGGAATTGGAGGGAGTTTCAGTTCTCGATATTTTTGGGAAAGATATGGCAAAAGATTGGAGTTATTGTGACGTGACATTCGTATTGGATGCGATGAAGATTGACCTGGTAGGTTATGATTTAAAGCATGTTGCATTGCTTGATATGGGAAAAGTGACCATTGACTTTGAGACAAGTATGGATGGTGCTTTCAAAACAAGCTTTGATCTGTACGATTTAGAAGTTTTCGATCGAACAACTCCAGATAGTCTTTTTGCAAGTGTTTTGAAAAAGATCGAGAGTGATACGGAATCCAATATGAGTGAAGCTATCCATCTCGAAGTAACAAAATCCCCAATCGGTGATCAAAGTGTTGATCTGAAAATGGTGGGATTTCAATTGGTAGCCTCGAAGCTCATGGCTCAGGAGCTGCAGAAATTTTTCCAAGACTCTTCGAATGGGTCAGCCTCGATGAAAGTAAAATCAAACCCTTTGTTAAGACAGTCTATGACGGGTTCTATCGATATTTTCTACGATGCGAGTCAAGGAGATTCATTTCGTGCGCCTCAAAATTTCGAGGAAGCTACTGATGACACCAAAACCAAAATGACTCCTGAAGCGACAGAAATACTATCGAATAAATTGATCGATGCATGGAAAAAGAAATCACAGAGTGAAGTATCTTGGATGCTTGACCTATATGTTATAGCGCCAGTTGTTATCATTCCCGAAGCTTGCAATGACCCCAGAGCTAATGTTATGGTCTTCGACTTGGGTAAATTGGCCGTTAAATATGGAAAGGGTGATCCGACCCCCGAGATAAAGAGGTGGTTCGATAAATACCCAAGGGAGTCACTGAATGATAAGAAGTTCGAGGCTGGTACCATTAACGTGAAACACTTGACTTTTAGTGTGCAAAAAGCCAACTGCTTACAACCCATCCATCCGTACCAAGAGAATGAAGCCCCAATTATAGATCCTATCAGCATATCGATCGACTTCGCGATAGAGGACATTGGTCCAAATTTTGAACCTCGTTCTTGTTTTGTTGGAGTTATTCCTACTATTTCTTCGAAAATTTCACCCTTTCAGGGGTCTCAAGTCCTGGGGGTTGTAAATTCTTGGACAGATATGTTTAGCGGTGGGGAGGATGATGATCAGATACAGAGACCTACAGTGCCAACTACGAGTCCGGAGTCAAAAGTGTTAACAAACACTCCACTTTCTGTACCGATTGCAAGCGTACCAGAAGGCGAATCTGTCTCAAGTGGTGAAGAAAGCCGTGCTATGTTTTACTGCAGAATTGGTTTACAGCACCTTGAAGTTGCTATAGTTGACAAGGGTCAAACGCAATTAGAAGCACACTTAGTTTCAGTATATGCGTCGATGTTACAATGTTCAGATGAAAGTTCTGAAATTAAACTTACCATGGGATGGTTTTGGATTCTAGATTGGATAACGAGTAGTTATGTAAGGAATCAAAGGCTTGTAATCCACTCAAATCTACCATGCTCTGCCAAAAGTTTTGTGGAGAGAAATAATTACAATGTTGTTGAGGAACTCAATAAGAAAGGAGTTTTCAAACTGGACTACTCGGGGTCAACAGAGTTGGCTGATGTCACCTTCAAGACACTACCAAGGAAAATCAACCGGTCGGAAGATGCCAACATCTACCAGATTCACGGGCAGTCTATCTCGGCAAAAGAAATTCAATATGTGCTTGATGTAAAATTTCGCAGCTTGGTTGTTCACTGGAATCCGCACGCGATAAAGGAGATAAATGCACTCTCAAACCGCTTTTTGGAAATCTTCGTGAATGATGATTCTGCCAAGGAAGACGGCGCTCTCATATTGAGTCCAGGGGATTATGAGGACTCTCTCAAATCAGAACGAAATAAAAACGTTTCTCGGAAAGAGGATATCGAAGGCTCTGACCCATTGCTCATCATAGCCGAAATGGAAAGTCTTGGTATAATTCTAAATTCCGCAAGAGATGATTTGCCGTTATTCACTTTGACGGTTTCTAATACTCGGGTATCCATCATTCCCCGTTCTGTAGGACAGGAAATTTCTTTGAGTCTCGGTGATCTTCAAATTGCCACACCAGAACAGGCAGGAAAAACTCTTCCCGTTTATCGAACGTTGCTGGGCATAGAGGATGGGAGCTTAGGAAGCCTTCTGGAAATTAAATACTGCGAAGGTCGCGAAGCAATCGAAAGTCTAAACCTAGAGTCACCTGGAATGGAAAACTTTGAAGCAATAGCTGGTATAGAACTTTCCCCAATGCGTTTTTGCTACATTCAATCCCAAGTACTTACTCTTGTCAACTATATAACAGAAGGCGTTCTGGGTGCACTTACTGCGAAAGCTGCGGTTTCAGCTGCGGAAGCAGCAAAGGAACTAGGAAACTCAGTCTCAGGGAATTCTTTTTATTTTATTCGAGCAACTTCGTTTCAGGCCGTTGTACCAGAAGCTGCATATCGCGAAGAACGCATGTGCCTAAAAACTACGTCCCTCAATGTCGATTACCGCATGTTTTCAGATGCTCGAGGAAGTGATATTAGAGCTGCTTTGGCAAATTTTATGGTCACAGGTAATCATCAAAAAGAGCTACAAGAAGCTCCAATTTACCTTTCCATCGATGTCAACATGCCGCAGGTCGGGATAGGTAGTCTAGATGATCAAGCCATGAAAGTCTTGGCGAATATACCTGAGGCAAAATTTGTTCTTACAAGGAATCAATATTCGCAAATGATGAACACTCTTGAGAAGAATTTTTCGGAGACAGCTCTTTTCCTTCGAAAGGATGACTGGTCAGGGCAAATAATAACCTCAGCGAAGGAAACTCATTCTGGTGTTCAGCTCGATGAAAGTACCCAGCGAATTCGTTTCAAACTAAATATTGGGGAATTCTCGCTGGAGTTAAATGATCGAAGTCGGGAGGATCCAATAGTTAGATTGACAGCTACTGAAACAGCAATTTCGATCAACATGATACCTGATCTCGAAAAGTTTTCAATGGAAGCGTTGCTGAAGAATCTTGTTTGCGAAGATCGCCGTTTGCTGTCGAGACCAAGGCATAGTAGGTATTTGATTAATCGAAGCAATCAAGATGGTAATGTCAGACACACAGATTTTTTTCAGATCGAATATTCTCAAGAAGCAAACAAAACAAATATTGATCTGAAATTGGGATCGCCTCAAGTGGTTCTCATCCCAGATTTGATTTTAGAAATTCTCTTATTCTTCGGCGAAACAAAGGGCGAGGACGGTGTTGAGAGTCAAGCACCACCCACAATTAGTCAAGATGAAGTTTCGTCATTGAACGAACGCCTTGCTCAAGTAGATTCCAGTGACAACGACGTGGTACTTGAGGCAAACTTGAGAAGGTCGAGAACTTATACAACAACGATGTCGGCCAAAACAGGAACGTGTAGATTCATCCTGATAGATCTTGGTACCCAGTACACCATGAGCGGAACAGCAACGAATAGGCCACTAAGTTCTAATTCGAAGGCTCAGCTGAGTGAAGCAGTAGTAACACAAGGAATTTTTGCTGCAACTCTTTCCATGGAATCTGACATAGATTCAGGGGCAACAATAGCTTCTACTTTTGAGTTCAATTCAGATGAAATGGAAATATTCACCGCATTTGGAAGAGAACTGAAGAGCCCTCTTCAGATTTTGGAACCCGCATTCGCATCAGCATGTGGTTCATTAAATACCATCACAGGAGATACTGAAATAGAAATTCGCGCATCGGCTTTGACACCGATACACTTTTCTTTGTCAACCCATAATGCTGCCCTTCTATTGGCGATTGTTGAAAGCGTAAATGATTCCATAAAGCATTTCGAAGAAAAAAGCACATCCATTGAAGCGAAAGAACCAAGTGCTTCAGCTCAAAAAGACAAAAAGAATTTGGATAATTATTTAGATTCTCGAACGTCGTCAAGTCGAAGGTTACAGGAGGCTGTGACATCGGAGAGGAACACTGCATCAATCACAACCAAAATAAAAGTCAACTTGACCATGCCTGAAGCTACAGTGACTATTATCAATGATTTGCAAGGATTCGATGAAGCGTTGTTCAGGATATCTGTGAAGGAATTTGTTGCAGGTGGGCAGTATCAATCACCGAAGACATTTTTTGACTTTAAATGCAACACATCAATTGTTGCTGATTATTTTGATTCATCGGTAAATCTTTGGAATATGCTCCTCATCGAACCATGGAAGATTGATATCATCGCAGAAAGAAAGCACTCCGAAAATTACAAACCTCGAGCGATCAGTACTTTCTACCTCGAGTCGTTTCCTTGCCATGTCTCTTTTTCTGAACAGTTTTTACTCAGTCTTGCCAGTACTACCAGAATGTGGAAAATGTATAGTGCTGCCACAAATGGATCGTCAGATCAAGATGGCGATAATTCAAATACCACAGCTACTGCTGCTGCCCGAAACCGTAATCTCTTATCATTCTTACCGAACGCAATTGCAAATCATAGCGGAATCGATGTTTCGTTTTCTTTGGAAAGTGGAAGCATTAAACACCGTCAATGTCCAAAAGAATGTGTAAAATATTTTCGTTTCGACCCACCGAAGGGGCATGGGTACGGAGGAACGCGAGTGTACGGTCAAGATGTGAAAGTTCCAAAAATTGTTCAAATCGAGGCTGCAGGAAGCGTCGCTATGGTGAATATGGATCTTGAGTTGAATCTTCCCCCACGTGGGCACAAAGTCGGAAACAAACTTGTTCTATTTACCCGCGTTGCAAAAGAAGGAGAAACTACAGTAAGTGCAGCGAAACAATGTTTTAAAATCTCATCCTCATTAAAAAATATAGTTCTGACCCATTTCTATCATCTTCTGCAGGTTTTGCATTTGAAAAGTCATGTTGAGGTAGTCAACCGAACGTTGATTCCCTTTCAAATCGATTTTCTTTACGATAAAGAAACTTCTTCGGACGAAACAGAAAACTATCGGAACGTGGTTTCATCTTCTGTAATTCATGCGGGTAAGATTAAACCGGAAAAGGCGAGCAACTTCGTTGTCCCAGTACCGCTTCTACGGAACTTTCATAGGGATTGGGCAAAGAAGGGTGAAGTGGAACTATCGCTTGCGCTCACACCATTACTGAGTGATTCCAATTTATCTGGAAAAGCTTCAATGCTTATTTCTCAGCAGAAGATGAGACGAGCTCCGAACCGTCGTATCAAGGCGAGCACTGAAGTCATTTGCAAAAGCGATCAGCACCTTGTGCACAATATGCACCCAATAGTGTTACGGGTCGAATTTACGATGACGCTTACTAATAGGGAGCATGCATTTATCGAGGTATCGCTTCAGCCTCGTGCGAAAATTGAAAATAAGATTCCTATTCCAATGAGAATTTGCACTCCGATGCCTCGAACCTTCAGCACATGCAAAAAAGAAGAAGACATGAATGAAGAAACATCGTACGTTGTAAAACGCAACGAATTTATTGAAGTATTCACTCCTGGGCCTTCAATAGCGATTAAAATTCGAACGCAAGATAATCCAATCTCTGGTTTAAAGTTGGGTTGGATGGATAGTGAGTGGGTGTTCCTCCAACTTGAAAAAGATCGGCTCCAAGACCCAATCGTCGGATTGTTTCCTCTTGAAACAGGTTATTCAATTCCTTCAGAAGTGATGGGTACGAACAGAGAAGCTGGGGCCGAATTCTTCGTTGTGCAGGGAAACAAGAGACTCAACACCCTCGCTGATTTTAATCCGCAGGACACAAAGAGCAATGTTGTAGAAACGAATGACGTTATCGATTATCCTTTTACGTTCATTTTGACAGTGCGCAATTACGGTGTAGACCACACAGGTCATATTCTTTTTGAACAAAGGATGGATGTTAGAGATATTAGTTCCTCGGGGCAACTCCAACCGAGTGCGTCGGTAAACGAGAGTCACCGAAGTATTAGAAGAGGAAGTCAAGAAATCTCTAGGAGCTTCTCTCTGTTACCTAGAGGAAGTTCAAGGAAATTGAATGGAGGAGAACCGCTCTCATTAGGCGCATTTTCATCACCGAATCACCGAAGGCGTATTTCTCTTCTGCCGAATCCTCAGTTTCCACTGCGACTTCGTTACCTCACAATAGAGGGAACGGAAGGATTCAGAAGAACGAAGGTACGTATGTGGATTGCTATGCCGACTTGCATCATATTAAGTATTCAAACTTTCGTATTATTAACGTTTCCCGATTCGGACTCTAGCCATTTATGATTGAAAATCTACCGATCGGAGATGGTGGTGCATCTTCTATGCCAATCCAATGGGAAAATAAACAGCAGAGTGGCCTTTTTGCATATGGCATCTTGATTAATGAACACCAGTTTGAGGTTCATATTGTCCCTGAATTTCTTGTTTTCAATGGTGGCAAAAGTGAGGTTTTAGTAAAAGAAGAGTCTATGCCTGACATTATAATTGAACCAGGAGATACTAGACAACTACGGGTATCGACGAGACCAGATGGGCTTAAAMTTTCGTTTGACTTCATTCGGCTTCAATGCGAAACTGGTATTTTAACGGTATCCAAAGCTGGGCTAGAAACTGGATTCATCACATCAAATGTTACATCATACGAACGTCGTTATCGGGGTAACGTATGTGTTCAAACTACATTCGATACTTTTGGTGATTCACGACTTGTTGTGAAGATTGGGGAGGTCGCACTTGGCTCCCAAGTATCTCCAGTCATCAAAGAAAAAAGTATTTTTGATGGGGATGTTTGTCGCTTTCTCGTTCGTTCACAGAAGCTCAGTTTAATTCTCAACGAAGTCGATCAGAAAAGGCGGGAATTGGTTCGTAGGAACAGCACTTCCACAGCAATTACCCCGTCGATGGCTACTTTAGACAGTGATCCAAGAGGTTCGAAATTGTCAAAAAGAGCTTCCACCATCAACGTCTTGAAGCACGAGACTCAGAATCGAATGTCTAGTTGGAATGATCGAGTGATGATGCACGAAATCATGGCGGTGGTCTTTACACGATTCTCTATTGAATTCAAGCGTGTATTCAAGAAGGAAGACGAGAGAAGGCGTCCCGAGAGATCCCAAATTGAAGTCAAGGTGGGCAATATTCAAATCAAAGATCTTACACCGGATTCACATTATCCTGTGGTATTCAATGGTACTAGCAATTCAGACTTCAATGTTTTCGATTTGTGCATTCAGATTCGTGGCCCTTTGAGTGCCAACATTGTGGAAGTGGATCTCTTCCATCTATTGCTAGCGCACAAAGATAGGCGTTCATCGAAAATGAGTTTGACAACAAGTGAAGAATACGTATGGAGGATATTGGATCTCGTAAATCGCATCTTGGGTGCAAGTGGTGAAGTAGCAGGCTTTACCTTAAAGTACGAAAATGATGACGATGATAACTACGTTTTCAAAATCGAAGATGCTGGGGGTAAGTCTCGTTCGAAATCTGTCGAGAAGAATCAATATACCACACCAACTTCCGATACGCTTTACGACGTCGCTCGCGTACTTGTATCGCCATTTACAGTCGTCGTAAGCTTTCGTCGTGGTGCTAACTTGACACGTTATGAGAAAGTGAAAGATGTACCTGGAAGTTCAGCCATCAATTATTTCACCCGGAAATTGAAATTCACGATTGACAGGGCAGAGTTGAATTTCACAGGATACGAGGTTCGAGCCTTAAAAGGACCATTGGATAGGTTGGTTGAAGTAATGAAGACTGTTTACATAGACAAGATTAAATACAAGATTGTCCCGTTGTTAACAGCAGCTACAATAAATGACTGGAAAGGGCTTGCAGCACGAGAAGGTGAAGATGAGTACGTCGAAGGAGATATTTTGCGAGCCACTGGTAATGTTGCAGGAAAGGCAGCAGGTTCAATCGTGGGGTACGCCGGAAATGGAGTAGGAGGTGGTTTCAAACGTATCGCTTCTTTTGTCGGAGATGGTGTCGAAAGTGGAGCTGGCAAAATCGGAGCACGTAAATTTGGCACCGGATTCAATAGTGCTGTGACTGGCATAGGTTATGGTGTTGGTGATACAGTGTCAGGTGGTAAGTTAGATACATTCCCATCAGGCTTTGAGGCGAAAACATTCAGCGCGTAATGCATCGAATACAACTAATCTTTTTCAAATTTGTAATGCAACGCTATTGATTTGAAGTTGCCACTGGAGCAAATAAAATTATCGAAGGAGCAGGTATGGGAGTAGGCCATATTGCTGGAGGAGGTACGTGCTCGTCGCTGTATTTGAATTTATCCTTTTAAAACAAAATCCACATGTTCTTCAGATGTCCACGAGTCGGAAAGCTACTTGTTCACTGAGAGTACATCCTCGTTTTTTACTTCTACGTTTTTATTTAAGTAACTAGCGGTGCTCTGCAAATGGGCCAAGGTATTGGAAAAGGAATTACCACTGGGGATGGAAAGGCAGTCGTTGAAGGCATTGCGAAAGGTGTTTCATCAATTGGCGGTGGCATCAAATCGGGTGCTGAAAAAGCTGTGACAGGCACGGCGGGTGGTGTTCTTCAAGTAGGGAAAGGAATATTCTCAGGTGGGAGAAACATAGTACGAGGTATTGGCGGTGCCGTCACAGGAAAGAAACCTTCGAGCTTCCAACAAAACAATAAATCTCAAGGAAGGAAGTGACTTTTGCCTTGGTATGCTTTCGTCACCTTCAAATTAATAAAAAATAGCATGGAATTATCGTATGGTTGAAAATTGAGCGTAACTAAAGCATCCTCATTCCAAAATGAAAATAGTGACATAAACCGGAGTGAATCACTGAGTATGTTTGTGTATTGCAATAGTGCATTTGTCACAATTGAAAACTAGCACTCGTAGCGATACCAACGTATGGCTTTCTCACATCAACAAAGCATTTCAATTCTGAATCTTGGGATTCTCTTTCAGTGTAGTCACTGTTTATTCTGAGTCTAACCTTGTAATGAAAAACGAACATACTTGGTCAGTAAACTTATATTCGCAAAGAATCACCCAGCAGATCTACGTATTTGTGAAGAGGGGTCATATCATCGAACTCAAGACAGAAATAATCGTCCAAGTTGCGTTGCAGCTTCAACATTTTTTGGTACACCACCGTTGTGACAACTAAGTTGTATTGCTTGAGTGATGTGTTTAATATCGTATCACGCCTAGCAAATATTTCATCTTCCACACATACGATAAGAAATGATAATCAGTAGATCAAGATAGGCTTGAGTATGTATTCTATAAACTTCTCGTTTTCATTAGACACTGATGCTACTAGATCGGTCTTGATCCCATTCCAAATCTGGCATAACGATGATGTCTTGTACTGTGCCCACAATCAAAAGTCTTTTATTCACACGCGAGAAAAATTCATCTGATCTTGTCAGTACCATCCGGTTTAAAGACTGTCGACGAAGGAGATGACCTCTCCAACGGTGGAGATCTTGGCGGCTTCCTCTTCAGGGATTTCGCAGTCGAATTCCTCTTCGATGGCCATGATCAATTCAACGGTGTCAAGGGAGTCAAGTCCGAGGTCATCGATGAACTTAGCATCAGGGACAACTTTGTCTTCGTCGCATCCGACTTGCTCGACAATGATTTCCTTGACTTTATCGTCGTTTTCACCGTTCAAGGCAGTGTTGGATCGGAATCCAACGTTGGCAGGTGCGAAAGCAGCGGCGCTAGCGACAAGGGCGAGGGCGATGACAGACTTGAACATGATGAGATGTAGGGTGTTATGTTGTAGAAAATAAAAAAGAAGTGGTTTGTGAAAAGAAAGAGAACTCTCTCAAAAGGATGCAAATCTTTGGTTCGTTTTGACGTTTCGACGTTTAGCAGCGACAGGTGATGATGTCGAGGTTTTTTGAGCACGCAATGACAAGTACGTACGTACGCGCTCGGAGCTTGCGGGTACTGCAAGATCCTCCGTAACCGTTCGTTGATTGCCGTGTAAGCAGTGACCACGTAACATTTATTTGACTTGTCAAAAATTTCAAATCTCGTGAGACACCCAATCTTCAATCTTCGTGCATCACGAAAAATAATTTTGTCATTTTCTACCCTGAACTCTAACTGAGCCCGACTAGTAGGACAAATAATACAAGTAAAAACGCACCAAGAAAAAAAATGGATCATACGGCGGGGGGAGTCATGTATTATGACCCCTGTCAACGTACGTACAGTACGTACTTGGCGTAGGTTGCTGAGATCGGGCGGAAATACATGATGAAACGCCCTTGTTTCGCCACATTCCATATCTCATTCAATAGGATTTTGGATTTTTACTACTAGTACTAGTACTAGTACTAGTAGTTATGTGCTATTGCAGCTATCCCTATTGGATTTATAGTATATACTACTAGCACTACGTCACACTACTAGTACTACTAGTAGTAGTAACAACAGGAAGAGAATTAATAATTGCTTGGAATGATAACTGGTGTGGTGGGAGTGACTAGTAGTAGTAGTAGTAGCTACTAGTACTAGCTACTAGTATCTAATACTAGTAGTACTACTAGTAGTGCTGATGTAAATCAAGTGCTACTACTAGAAGAAAAGTGAGTCAAAGCTCCTCTTAGTGAGAATCAACAAACTATGGAATCTAAGATAGTAAATCAAAATGAGAATTGAGTGATGTGTGTGAGTTGAATGAGTCGAGTCAATTGTGAGGATCCAGGGTTGTGAATGCAGAGTTTGTATGAATGTGTCATGTGTATGTATCATAGATACTATGAATCATACCCACAAAATGGTGACATCCTAGTACAGATAGCAATAACAACCCTTTGAACAGATGAGCTAGCTAGTACTAGTACTAATAGTAGTACTAGTGTAGTAATAGTAGTATTTTTGTGATATGAATGTGATTTTACCATAGCAGGTTGCATTCCAACAGTCATTTTAATGATATGGTGGTACTACTTGCACATGAGAGCTAAGAAGAGTAGTCAGTTTTTGAGGCTATTTTTGAGGCTACTATTCTTCATACTACTAGTATTATCATAGAGAATATTCGGTGATTCCCGTTATTATAGATGTGCTACTTTTGATAGACCAACAGACCAAAAATTTAGCACATCTAGCACAAAATTTATTACTATTGATGAAGGTCAAACTGGTGCTATCAAATGTATTAAATTTTATGATGGAACTCACAAATGAGTTGGTTGAACGACTCAAAACAAAAATCATGCACGTGCCTCTTTTTAGTCCTTATATTTTTTGAACTATACTACTTAAGAGGATTCCAGATTCCCAACAACAGCCAGCATTCCTCTCAGTCTGTCCATTGAAATTTTGATTCCCGTTAATAGATTAATAAAAGTGCTAAATTTACAAGTTTAGCACATCTATAATATCGGGAATCTTGTTGTACTGCTGGTCGTCATTCTTCTTACTTCTTCTTGTTCAAAAGAGATGCATACTAGTACCATTGTCAACATTTTGTTTCCTGTGTTAATACACATTTTAATTTCATGTACAAAAATAGTTATTATTCACCATGTAGATGCAAAATTCTAGTACCCAGTAATGATTCTACACATTCTACACATTCATATTATTTCTGGCATTAAATACAAATATTGACGAGTTTTCATTAGCTACCATGACTGTCCTGTTTGTGGAACAGCAACAAAGAAACAAAAGGAGGCAGGGTGAAGATAATGAAATATGAATTGGGACAGAGGAAGTAGTGCTACTTTGTATCATTTGTTGGTGAGC